TGTGGCTGGTCCCACGCATGAACATGGACACATGTTGGACCTGGTTCTCTCTCACGGCTTGTCTGTGAACGACATATGATAATGTGATTTCTGACCATAGGCCTGTTTTATTTGATGTTGGTTTGTCCTGTGCTCCAGTTAAATCCTGCGCTCCTGCCCAGCGACGTAGAGTTTTTAACCCTTCCACTGCTGGTCAGTTCTCTGCTGCCTTTGAACAGCTCTGTGCTCCCTCTGGCTCTGCTGCTGACACGGAACACCTGAGCTCCTGGTTTGACTCCTCCTGTCAAACCATTCTGGACTGTGTAGCTCCATCTAAACTGGTGCGGCCTAAAGCCAGATCTGAACCCTGGTTTAATGAAAAAACTATTGCAGCCAGACAAGAGTGCCGCAGAGCTGAACAGAAATGGAAAAATGATAAACTGGAGGTTTCATTTCACATTTTAAAGGACTTTAAAGGAAAAAAAAACAAAGAAACTGTCCAGATGACCTGACTGATAAATGTTGGATTGTATACCTGGATTATTGCGCATGGACTTTGTTGTTTTCAACCAGTTTGACATGACTGTCAACAAGGAAGAGGCCCGGCAATGGAGGAGGGGGCGTACCAAAGAGACCATCTTATCAAAAGCAGAACTGGTTTGTTCCACTTTGCAGTAAGCTGTTGGAGGAAGAATCCGTTTTGTTGTGTGTTTCCTTGACTGATGAAGCCTTCCGCATCAAAGGCGAAACGTTTCAGCACAAAAAATAAGAAACTGTCCAGATGACCTGACTGAAAAATGTTGGATTGTACACCTGGATTATTGAGCATGGACTTTGTTACTTTAAAGGACTGTCAACGTCAGTACCAGAACACTGTCAAAGAGACCAAAAAACAACACTTGTCAGACATCATTGTGTCCAATCATAATAATCCACATGTCCTTTTTAAAACTATTGACTCTGTCCTGAAGGCCCCACAACCTGTCTGTCTGGAAGCCTCTACTGAACTTTGTAATGACTTCCTGCAGTTTTTTATAAATAAGGTTGTTACCACAAGGGCCCTTATTTCAGCCCCTGCTTTTGACCCCTCCTGCTTGGTCCCCTGCCTGGCTGTGTTCGATAGATTCGAACCAGTGACTCTGACCCTTTTAGAGGATGTGGTCGGCCATATTAAACCATCAGGTTCCCCTTGTGACCTTGTCCCCCCTCGTCTTTTAAAAGAGGTGCATCAGGCAGGTGATTCTTGCTGTTATCAATAGCAGTCTGTCCTCAGGTGTTGTCCCAATACGTTTTAAACATGCTGTGGTGCAGCCCCTGCTTAAAAAGCCTAGCCTAGACCAAACTGTCTTGGATAATTTTAGGTCCATCTCCAAGCTGCCTTTTATTAAAAAAAAAAAAAAATTGTATATTCACAGGTCAAATGTTTTCTGGATGAGCACAATATCCTGTAGGTTTTTCAGTCTGGCTTCAAAACTCGCCACAGCACAGAATCAGCTCTAGTCAGAGTTTTTAATGATATTCTTATGGTCAATGATTCTGGTGAACATGTGGTTCTTGTCCTGCTCGACCTAACAGCTGCCTTTGATACTGTGGATCACAACATTTTAATATCACGCTTCCAGCACCAAGTGGGTATCTGTGGTACTGCACTGAGCTGGTTTAGGTTCTATCTGCCAGACAGAACCATGTCTGTCAACATAGCTGGTTCTGAATCCTCCACTGCTCCTCTGTGTTTTGGGGTTCCACAGGGCTCTATTTTAGGTCCCCTGCTTTTCTCCCTTTACCTACTTCCTTTGGGATCAATCCTCAGAAAGCATGGGATCTTTTTTCACCGTTACGCTGATGATAGTCAGATCTATATGCCACTAAAAAAGAAAGATGCCCCTTCAATCAGGCCACTTCTGTTCTGTCTTGAAGACATCAAAGCCTGGATGTCTTTAAACTTCTTAAGGGTGCATTCACACCAGCCCTGTTTAGTCCACTTTAATCGAATTCTAGCTTGTTTTCCCAGAAAGTCCGGTTCGTTTGGGAAGGTGTGAACGCACCATCTAACTCTGTCACGGAACAAAAAGGCGAACTCTGGCCCGGGCTAAAACCTAGGTCTCGATCCGGTAGAAGAGAACTCCAGCGCAGTTCGAGTACAGTGTGAATGTAATCAGACCGGGCCCTGCTCCACAAGCAAGGAGTACAGCGCAGGACAAACAAACACACATTTCTCTTACCTTATAGCCGTCAGCTGCCTTGTGTGAAAAACTATTCTCCATGGTCTTTTGTCTCATCTTCTGCTCATGCTGAGTCCATGGTTGAAAAATGACAAAATATAACTCCTAAAACTGCCAAAACTTGATGCCACTCCATTTTTGTTTTAATTTCCAGAAGAAGAAGAAGAAGTGTCTTCAGAGGTTTTTGTGTCGTTTCTTTCAGTAGTTCTTGGTGCATGGTTTTAATTTTCTCCATAGCTTCAGTCATTCTTCACACAAAGCCAGTGACCATATTTCCCTTTGGGATTAATAAAGAATTTTTGAATTGAATTGAATTGAATTGAATATCCTCCATGTTTGAAATTCTCTGCTCTGTCTCTGCGACACGTGACGAAAGGTCATCTAGCAAAGATAACATTTTCTACAGAGTCTGAGAAAGTTTAGACAACCTCTGATCTATCACTTCACTGATATTATTAGTCATTTCACGAATGAAAACTGCTGTGTCTACCGGAAGCGAGGGCTGGTCACTTCTTGCTACTAGCATGTCAGTTTAGCTAGCACGTGTTCATGGCGTCTGTCGCCTTACGTGGTTGTAATTTCGTCTGTTTTGATTTCACTAGTTGTTCCAATGAAGGATGTTTCATATAATTACTTATTTTAAAAACATAGTCAATAAACCAAGTAAAATTATAGACAGTACTAAATATTACTGTAAAAACTATGGGTGGGGGTGGGAGCCCTGTGAAAACACATCTTCTAGCCAGTCAACTTCCCAGTTCTCCATGTCTTTATTTTAAATGATTTTTTGACTTAACAACTATTAATTGCATTTTCTCCTGCATTTTAAATCAAGTTAATGCTTCTAGTTCACTGAAGAGAGTGGAAGCATTTGGGGACAACTTAACTGCTCAGCCAGACTTGGAGTTGATGATGTCGGAGAAATTTCAGCACTCTGTATTTGTAATGGAAAGGAGCATCCTGCGCAACAACTTCAAAACTCTGCTGACAGCCTGCAGACAGCTACCTCTACTCAAAGGTAATTTCAGCCATTGGAGGGTGCTGTTGAGTAGCTGTAGCAGCAACATTAAGGTAACTGGTGTCAATGGATGAAATGTAACTATTAAAACATTAATATTTTATTCATCGCATCAGATCCAGATAGACGTGAGGCAGAAGAGCTAAGTGAAGAGGATACAGATATCTCCCTGTCTCCTGCCTTGAAATATCTGTGGGCTTTCAGCAGTGAGCTCACCAGAGGGTACAGCATCAGCTGCATGGCCTGGAACAAGAAGAACCCGGTAATAAGAGAAGAGAGCAACACATCATCTGTATAAATAATAAGTAAATGAAGGAATTCCAGAGCTTTGAACAAGTTGTAAAGTAACGTCTCCTGTCGATGAAGGATTTGAATAGTAAATGTTTGTAGTTTTAATGATTAGTGCTTTCCTGGACTGGAATTGAACAGTAAATGCAAGTAAACCTTATTGTTTTTGGTACAAGATATTTAAGTGGGTAGTTATACCGTAGAGAAGACAAAGGGAAGATTTATTTACATATTTGGTATTTTTCTTTTTTAATTCACCACCACATGCAATGGTGAAACCATGGGGTGCCAATAGTGGCCTTGGTCCCCATAGCTTGATCTTCGACCACCGCACCCATTCATTTGACAAAACTATACTTTTAAGCTCTAAAAAAGTTGTCAGGTCCTCAGGACAGGTTCAAAAACAAAAAAATTGTAGAAACATTTCGTCTTTCATACGAAAGACTTCTTCAGTCCGAGGTACTGTGTTCATCTCAGTCTTAAATAATTATTAATAGCACCTTCTCATAGTGGATCAACCAGTTTGCTGCTGACAGCCAAAACTAGCTGTTCACATGATCAAGGTGTAAGGATGGTACCTCTCTGTTAGTGTCCATGTGTCTGTACTCCCTAGTGTCTCCAGTAATTACCCTGATCAGTTCCACCTGCGTGTTCTCCAGGTGTTTGTAATTTGTCTTGTCTAGTCTATGTGTATATAAGCCCTGGTCCTTGTCTTAGTCTTTGTCTGTACATCGTTTGGTATCCTCCTATGTCCCTCTCGTGTCCTGACCTGTAAGTGTTTTGCTGTCTTGTCAGCTGTTTATTTCTATTATTAAAGTATTTATTTATTATACTTCGTGGCCTCTGTGTCCTGTCTGCATATGGGTTCGTTCCTGTTCAGCTCAGCCTGAAAATCCTGACAGTATGCACCGACCAAACCCAGAACCCAGCAGACAGAGTTCCTCAGCCTCGCTTACCTGTTCTCTTGAGCCCACGCAGATGGAGGAGATCGTGTTCCGGTGCGGCGGTTTCCAGATCCGACCCATGCCAGCACAAAGAAGCTACTGCCAGGAGGTGGAGATTCTGCCTTCTTCCCTCCTGGTCCTCGAAGAAAGGAGAAAGTCCCAGCTCCGGATGGACTGCCTGACCTGTGAGTCCAGCCCCTCCTCATCTCCAGCTCTGTTCAGCTATTCAGGGTGGACATTGAGGGAAGACGCAGAACCGGAGGACGAGCTCTGCTCCATTCCTGCCCCTCAGCCTCATCGTCGTCGACAGAGCGGCAGAAACTGAACCCAGAAGCAGTCCAAGGCACTCGTTCTGGCACCTTTTACAGATCCGACTCGGCTCAGCGGAGCCGAGCTTCCAGAGAGCAATCCCGGCGCTCCAGTGGGGACAGGTTCTGTTCCCTCACCTCCCAGGTTTCTGGTGAGGGCAGAATCCGACACTACACCGTCGCTCCAAGCCACTCCTGTTCAGTCCGGTGAGACTGAACTTCCTGAACCTTGTCCCGATGTCTCCATGGGGGCGGTTCCCGTTGCCTCACCTCCCAGGTTTCTGGAGAGGGCGGAACCCGACACTTCACCGTAGCTCCAAGCTGCTCCTGCTCAGTCCAGTGAGACTGAACCTCCTGAACCTCGTCCCGATATCTCCATGGGGGTGGTTCCCGTCACCTCACCTCCCAGGTTTCCGGTGAGGGCGGACCTTGACCCCTCACCCCTGCATAGAGCCCCTCTTAGAGCCCCTCCTTTTTTTTTTCTTGCTACTTTACGGTGAAACCAGACGTGTTTTACCTCTCTGCCCCCCCACCCGCTTCCCTGCTGCGCTCTTTTGTCCTGTGAACCCTTAAAAAACCTATTTTTTTCCTGCATACCTCTTAATTGGAAGGATCAGCTGGTCTCTCAACAAAATCGATCAACTTCTCCTGACAAGAGTCAGGGTAAGGAGGACACTCTGAACTCTAGAGGAAAAATTGGATTCATGATGACGACTAGAATCTACTGTTTGGGTTTGTTGGAATCTGGTTGTCTACAAATTCGTGTGGAGGTGTTGAAGCTTGACAGTGCTCGGACTGAATGTGGAGCTGTGACAGGGAATTGGAGCAGCTGTTATCAGGACTGTGTTCTCCCTGGCAGCACTCGTGAATGGTGGGAATAATCTGGAGAAAGCTGTGAGCTCAACTTTGGAGTAAAGGATCAATTCGGCTGTTTTGGAGTTTCCATCAGAGAATATGTACCAGCGAGACTTTAAAGGCAGAAACAACAATTCACGAGTTCTGCCTGACCCAAATTGTGGCCTTGATGCCGGACTTATCTCAACTCCTCCTGGAATGTTTTGAAAACAACAAAGATGCTTTGACTGTTTCCTCACCCCTCCCTTCCCCAAGGCCGTGGACATGTAACAGAACCTCAACTGAGCTGAAGATGAACGTCACCTCTTATCTGGACAATGGCTGAGGGGGGGGGGGGCTCTGGACTATGCTATGACTTTCCCTTAAAAAAATCAATGTTTTCACCGCCTATAGGTAAATATATAACGTCTGTTTATGTTGCTTTGCTGTGGTAGGTTTTTTTTTTATGCCTCAAATCGTGCCCTGTCTAGGACACGGTGTGAGAGATCTTTTTTTATACCGTCTCTCCTCATGTTTTCTTTCCTTTTCTTATCTAAGCAAAATATTATTCTGAATAAGAATAAGAAGGCCGCACTGATTATTTTAGCTGCAGCTTCATGCACTCCGCCCATCTTCAGACGACTGTACGTACATATTTGCGTTGTATCTCAGTGCAATGCCAATAAAGTTTATTCTGATTCTTCTGATTCTGATTCTTAAGACTGGACCCAAGACTGCTTTGCCCCAACCCGATGAACTGTCCCAAACAAACCAGATTCTACAAATCTTTTCTCTGCTAAAAATAACCCGGACTGTTTAGACACTCTACTCTCTCTTGCTGAAAGTTTCTTACACTCGCAACTCGGTCTCCTCTTAATCCCTGAGTACCAGCAGCTTCTTATTTGTATAAGAACTTTAAGAACAAAACCTGACCTTCCTTTCCCTGACCCATTCCCGTACTCTTGAGCCACTGGCTCGCTTACTCTCCCTCCAGAGGACCCCACACCTGCTGCAGCCCCTGTAGTGGCTCCCACTACCATCTCCAGAGTCTCTACGCCTCCTGCAGCCTCAGTGTCATGTGAGGAACCTACTCAGTCCACACGTCCTGGTCCACCTGATGGGGCCCTCGCTTCTGGGTCCACGCCTCGTCTCGGGCCCACTACCTGTCCTGACTCCACGACTTGTCCTACGTCCCATCCAGGCCGCCTGCTTGGCCTGTCCCGGCTCGCCGAAGACTCATCCGCCGAAGATTCAGCCGCCGAAGACTCAGCCTCTGAAGACTCAGCCTCTGAAGACTCAGCTGCCGCTTCAGAGGTCTCAGCTGCCACTACAGAGGTCTCAAGGTCAACTGAGGGTCCCAGGTCTGCCGACGTCTCAACGTCAACTGAGAGTCCCAGGTCTGCAGACATCTCTATGTCAACTGAGGGTCCCAGGTCTGCTGACGTCTCTACATCAACCTGTGACGCCTCCAGAGGGTTCTACGCCAACTGCGCCTCCAGAGGGTCCTATGCCAATTGAACATAAGAAGATCCGAGTTCCATGACCTCGACATCTCCTGACCCTGCCGCAGAAGATCCCGTCTTCAAAGATCCTGCTGAAGAAGATCCCATCTTCAAAGATCCTGCCGCAGAAGATCCCATCTTCAAAGATCCTGCCGCAGAAGATCCCATCTTCAAATAGCATGCTGCAGAAGATCCCATCTTCAAAGATCCTGCAGCAGAAGATCCCATCTTCAAAGATCCTGCCGCAGAAGATCCTGTCTTCAAAGATCCTGCCACAGAAGATCTGAGCCCTCATTTATCTTGTTCCGGGAGGGTCATGGAGAACGCCTCCCACGTCTCCTGCTCTGAGGGGATCCTGGCGGATGCCCCTCACGTCTCCTATTCTGAGGGGGTCCTGGTGGATACCTCCCATGTCTCCTGCTCCAAAGGGGGTCCTGGCAGATACCCCTCATGTCTCCTACTCCGAGGGGGGTCCTGGTGGACACCCCTCAAGTCTCTTGTTCTGAGGGGGTCCTGGTGGACGCCCCTCACGTCTCCTGTTCCGAGGAGGTCCTGGCGGACGCTCCTCTCATCTCCTGTCTCGAGGGGGTCCCAGCGAATGCCTCTCACGTCACCTGCCATCTTGGGGTCGTCACACCTGTACCAGGGACCTCTAGGTCACCTACTGTCTCAATAAAATCTGCAATTACCCTGGGCTCATCAGCTTCTACAGCTCTTCTTGCCTCTGTGACAGCTGTGGGACCCACACCTGAACCTATGGCTCCTTCAGTCCTCTTTCTCCACACCAGGCGGTCATGGTCTTGTAATATGTCCATCACCATCGGCAGTCCACAAAGTCTGGTGCCTTGTACTGGACAACCTCCTGGCCACCTGCCTGACATGTTCCAGGGTGTTAGACAGCCTCCCAGCCGCACTTCTGACCAGTTCCTGAACTTTGGACGGCCTCCCGCCGGATTTGCCCCAGCATTTTGGCCGGCCTCCTGGCCGCCCCCCTGAACTCGCTCCTAGTGTTGGACAGCCTCCCAGCCGCCCGCCGGACCTGCCCTGTCCTGTTGGATGATCTCCCGGCCACCCATCGGATTTTCCCCAGCGTTTTGGACAGCCTCCCAGCCGCCCACCCGAACTGTAACCAGCCGAGGGATGGTCTCCTGACCGTCCAGACATTCTTTGTGTTCTCTGGTTTTGTTTTAGTCTAGATCCTAGGCCCTTGTCCTGCCGGTTTTTGTTTTGCCCTTGTGTGTTCCTTGTGCCCTCCATCCTTGCAGTACCTCCCTCCTCCCACCCAAGTCTTTTGGGGTGGGCCCTTTTTGGGATGCCTGGAGGCGTCTTGGGGGGGAGGGTACTGTAAGGATGGTATCTCTCTGTTATTTATTATTTACCCTTTAT